TCTTCCCTAAAATTGCTTCGAAATGCTAAACCTAAACCAAATCCAAACGCCACCTGAACTACTAGTCACAACAGCAAATCCAAATAAATTTCAACAAAATTACAGCTCACGATAGATAATTAATCGAGTAATTCGCACAGTGTAAAGGACTGAATAGACATCAACAAACTATGCAAAATCAGAAATCCAAAAACCTAATTTCGTCCAATAAATGAGATTAAAATTCAATTGACGAAAAAGGTACCGGAAATTGAGGGTGTAAAAGAGCAGAGGAAGATCAATAATCACTAGAAAACAGTCTGCAGGCGGAGTGGTTAGAGCCTTAATTACTTTGGAAAAAAGCTCCTCTTTATGTGTATTCGTTGTAGCGTACAATTTTACGCATTAGCTGTGGTAGTAGATGTTATAGTTTTGTGCAACTGAAATATTACCAGCTATTGTAATGCCAATACCCGATTTTAAGGAAATAGGAATATTTTCTGCCGGTGAGGATTGGGGTGAGATGGTGAAAAGCTCTGGGGGATGTCGTTACTCACCGTTCACCATGAAAGTAGAGAAGATTTGGGCGTGAGTTCCCTTGGCGACAATAGAATTATGAAATTAATAAAAAAAGAAAAAAAAGTGAATTTTTTTAAAATGAAAATCCTATTTGACAATTAGAGTTATGTTTGAACATTAATACAAATTGGAGTTGTTTTTGAATTTTGTGTTTTGAACTGAAATTTTGAAAAATAGATTTTTACAGTTTTTTAAATTTTAAAAAATTCTGAAATTTAATTTTAAGTGAAATCAATGGCCAAATATTTATTTCAAAAAATCAATGCACCTCAATTGATCCAGATCCCGAGCCTTCCTCTCTCTCGCCTTGGCCAGTCGGAATAACTTCTTCTCCCTGCCTTTATTCCCCAGCCTCCCGTACGGACGAGCATAAGCCGCAGTCTTAACCTCTGTGACCGCCACTTTCGCCTCCTTCCTAGCTACCTTATACCTCTCAATGTTCGCTCTCATCTCCTCATCACCAGTGCTCCCTACTAACTTCAGGTATGCTACCTTCTTCGCTTCCAATTTACTTTGGACTACTTCATTCCACCACCAGTCGCCTTTGTGACCACCAGCGTAGCCCGACGAGACCCCTAACACCTCCCTCGTTGCCTTCCTTATACAATCCGCCATCGTCGACCATATAATGCTCGCATCTCCACAACTCCTCCAGGATCCTATAGCTGATAACCTCCCCTATAACTCTTGAGCTTTATCCTTAGTCAAGGCACCCCACCCGATCCTTGGACATCCTCGAATAGACCTCTTCTTCCTCCTTATCATAATGCCTACGTCCATCACCAAGAGCCTATGCTGCGTCGCGAGGATCTCACCCGGGATAACCTTGTAATCCTTGCACAGCCCTCTGTCAGATCTCCTGAGGAGGAGGTAATCAATCTGAGTCTTCTCCACCATGCTCTAGAAAGTAACCAAATGCTCCTCCCTCTTTGGAAAACTCAAGTTCGCAATCACTAGCTCAAATGCCTTAGAAAAATCCAGCAGCGAGGTGCCTCCTCCGTTTCGATCCCCAAAACCGAAGCCGCCATGCACCTCACTGTAGCCACCAGCAGACGACCCAATATGCCTATTGAAATCCCCTCCTATAAATAACCTCTCGGCAGGAGGAGTATTACGTATAATCTCATCCAACCCCTCCAGAAGCGCCTTTTAACCTCCTCATCCAAGCTTGTTTGCGGCGCGTAAGCGCTAACGACATTTAGGGTACACTCACCAACCAATAACTTAATAGTCATTTATATATCATTCACCCACCTTACCTCTACCACAGACTCTCTAAGATCCCTATCTAGCAAAATACTCACTCTATTCTTACCCTTCAAAACTCCAGAGTACCACTACTTATACCCATCTGCATCCCTCGCCCTCGATCCTACCCACCTAGTCTCTTAGACACACGTTATATTTACCTTCCTCTTCTGGAGGATCCTTGCCAACTCTATAGACTTACCGTCAATGTTCCTATGTTCCAAGACCCAATTCTCAACCTATAGGCTCCCTTGCCTCCCATCCCACCCCCTGTCCCCCGCCCCACNCCTTACTCTACCATACCAAACTACAACCATTATACCCACAACAGCCTAAGGAAGAATCACTGGCACACAATAAGCAATGAACCAAACTAGAAGAAAACAAGTTGAAACTACAGACACGCTATTCGTATGATTAAACAAATGTGAACTAAAATGGCTACAGTTTAGCTAACACCAAACATGACTAATTACAGTTACATATAAGAAAAACACAGATAGGAAAATATGTACAAGTACAAGTGAACCCCCACGAAATGGAAATAACTTAACTAAGCAATCCGAAATTAATAATTACTACTAAGGGGGGGGGGGGGGGGGGGGAGATAAGAAAAAGTGACTGGATGCCCAGAGGTACCAACTCTAGAGGAGAAGAACTTGGATATAGTCGAGGAGCCGAGGCATTGCTGAAGAACTAGACGATGTTGGTTACCGCCATCGCCGCTAGCTGAAAATGCTAAAATCGCCGCCGCCACGAATCCTAAGCACTACTCTAATTAACCTGGACAAAGAAAAAGAGAAGACGAAAAAATGGGGTTCCCGCTGCCTCTACTGCCACTGTACATTGTGCAGTAAAGGTAAACAAGAAGGCAAAAGAGGGGGGACTAGCGGAGAAGAAAGAGATGAGAAAGAAAGAATGGGGAAAGAGAGATAGGGAGAAAGATAGAGAGGGGGGAAGGCATGGGGGAAAAAGAGAAGAGAGAAAGACAAAAGAGGGGAAAAGAAATCGAAGGGAGAATCGCCATCGCCGATATTCGCAGAAAATCTGCTAGCGCCGGTCACACTAGAATGGAAGGACAAAGAAAAAGAATGAGAGAGAAAGAAAAGCAAGAGATAGAAATAAGAGAGAAGAAAGAGAGAAGGGAAGAGAAAGGAGGGGAGGGCCTTGGGGGAAAGGGAGGACTTACCTGTGACTCACCAGCAATGGAGCGGCGATGGAGATGGGTGCAGGTACGTAGAAGGTGAATGTTAGGGAGATGGAGAAGTAGAAACAGAAGAAAAATTAAAAAAAAAATATTTTTTCCAGGAGAAAGGAACTAAAAAATTTATATTTATCGAATTATTTTTCATTAATTTAAAAGAAATTTTCAGAAAGCACTATAGTTTGGAGACTATTTACTTGGCGTAACTATAACTTCCATATTTACTAGCCATAGCAAAACTTACGTTGATAGGTGCCTGTATTTTCTGTATTCGTGCGTGTAGGATAGATTGTATCAATGAATACAGTTTTGGTGTATTCTAATGTATTCAGTTGTCTATATTTAATTTGGTTGTATTCAAAAAAAAAATTAAAAATATACATCGGTATTTGGTTGTATCCAATTTACTGTATTTATTTGTAGCTATTTTTATACTATATTCAATTTACTGTATTCAATTGGCTATATCCAATTCACTATATTCAAAAAGTACAAACAAAAGTACAAAAAGTCTCTTTCGATATTATACACACACACATACTAATGAGACTAGTGATACAAGGCCAGGGTAGTTGAGTGTAATTTACTTACGTTAGTGGGTATATCTATAGTATTAGAAGTTAGTAACTACCAACACGTGGATTAGCTGTTAAATGTTAGTTAGTGGTTAGATATGTGTGTGTGTATATATATAGTGTAGTGTATAGAACAGATATGTAATTCATTCTTCTCTTTACTGAATGAAAGAAGAAGTTGTTGAGGTCAAACTTCTCTCCTCAATTCCATTTGTGTTTGAGTTTTATCATGGTATCAGATCCACACGCCCATTAGTGTGGTCTCTCCATTTCGATCTTCAAATTTTTCATCAGAAGCTCACTGAAGACAGCATCAATGGCAGTGGTCGACAATGAAATGCCGGAAAAATTTAGTCACAATCATCCTCTATTTTTGAATGCAAATGACAATTCTAGAGCAGTATTAATCTCTCTACAAATGCGAGGAATGGAGAATTATTTTGTTTGGAGTCGAGCAATGTGAACTACGATCCTAGTTTGGAACAAGCTAGGGTTTATTGATGGCACATGTAAAAGGGAATATTACGGTACAAATCTCGTAGATCTTTGGGAGAGGTGAAACGCAGTCGTATTATCATGGATAATGAATTGTGTGTCACTAGAGCTGCTCAGTGGAATCTTTTACTCATCAAATGCAACAGTTGTCTGGAATGATCTAGAGGAACGATTTGACAAAATTGATTGTTCAAGCATTTTTCAGATTCACAAATAAATTGCAACTATCAATCAAGGTACTGCATCGATCTCTTTGTATTTCTCAAAATTACAATTACTATGGGCAGAGTTTGATAGCTTAGCACCAGCACAGAGTTATGACTGTGCAAAATCAAATGAGTCAATAGCATTTTTGGAGCGATTGAAACTATTATAGTTCCTCATGAGATTGAACGAGTCATATGAACAAGCCGCAGTCAGATATTGATGATAGTACCAGTTCTCTCTGTGAACTAGGCTTACTCAATGCTAATGGAACGCGAGAGTCAAAGAGCTATGACAAATCATCTTGATCTGATTGGGGAACGTGATCCAACTGCCTTAATGACAACTAGAGGTGGTGCCCCATTTAGACCTAAAAGAAGCTATAATCTATACTGTAATTTTTGCAAGATGAAAGGGCACATTCAAGAAAACTGCTACAAGATTGTTGGCTATCCAACAGAATTCAAGCCTAAGAAAGGAGGATTCAACTCTGCTAATTTTGCCTCAGTAGAAGACGCTCAACCACAACACCAAGGAAGCATGATTGCAGCCCATCCAATGATAGAGCCACCACATCATCATACTTTGGTATAGCACCAGTGTTCACTCAGGAACAATTCAACCATAATTTGAAGATGTTGAATAAGGAAGAAGTGTCAGACACCTCAACCAACATTGCAGGTATGTCCTGTTGCAGTGCTTGCTTGGTAAGTGATACAACTAGATCTCACAGTTGGATTATAGACACTAAAGTAACAAATCATATGACCTCCATTTATATCCTATTATTAGATACAATGGAAGTAATGAAAAACAATATCAAAACAGTAAATTTGCCTAATGGAACCAAGATAGAAGTATCACACATTGGAATTTGCAGAATAGGAGAAAATCAGGAAGTCAAAAATGTGCTACATATATATATGATTTCAAGTACAACCTGTTGTCAGCCTCTAAATTGACAAGGGAACTTAAATATATGGTTGCCTTTTTCCTAGCTTTTGTGTGTTCCAGGACCTCTCCACTAGGAGTAAAGGGGATTGGTAGAGAAGTTGATGGACTTTACCTACTGAGTATTGCATATCCTAATAAAGGACAAGAAAATAAGACCACACAGTCACTGCTTGCTAAATTGGACCAGAATACATTGCAGCTTTGGCATAAGAGGATGAGAAATCTCTCTTCAAGAGTCATGAGGCAACCACTGCGCACTAGTGAAGAAGTATGTAAAATGTAGTAAATAACTGTGATGCCCTTTGGCAAAACAAGTAAAACTATCGTTTCCTGCT